GGATTGATGGCGGATCAGCGCGCTCGCCGTTCAGATCTTCCCGCCGCTGCCACCTGCGCCCGCCGCTGCCACCTGCGCCCGCCGCTTCTCCCGTCCCCTCCTGACTCTGTATGAGCTCAAGTCTTAGAGGAAGACGGAACGGTGGCTGCGAGACACGCGACATCAGACGCGGCCGCGTTTGTCAAGTCCGCAGCTCCTCCTCTCTTCCTCGAGTCTTTGAGTGATTGGGCCGCCGTGAGACAGCCCCGGGGTAGAATTACCAACAGAAAAGGCGGCTTCGACGTCAAAACGCGCGGGGCATCTAGATGGCTCCGGCGCGCGTACCTGCTCACTTGGACTCAAAGGACTTCCGTATTCGTGAGTGTGGCTGATCAGTGCACTCCATAGACTACGCTCTCGCATGATAATCAGTCGGTTTGAGGCCGACAAGCGGCACAGCCCGATACGTAGACTTGAATCCTGGTGACCAGTCAACGATTCCCGATACACTCCCGCGTAAGTATCTTGTTGTTAGTCGGAAGACAGTATTGCGTACCGATAAACCGCAGGAAGGGGGATCTTTGTAGTCGTAGTCAGATGTGGGGACACGACTTTGCAGATGCGTATGAGGTTCAGCGTCTGGAAAACATGTCCGGCTCGTTCGCGATGTGTGTGTACACTTTGACTAGGCTCTGTACCAGATCGAACCCAGCAGATTGCTACTATCTGGGATTATATAGTATGCAGGAACTGACCGAGATGTAGAAGGGCACGATGTTGGCATGATCTCCGAGTCGGCGCGGGTAGGCCTGCATGCAGCGGTGAACTCATGGTTGCTGTCAAGGCGTGAGGTCCATGTACGTAGAGTACATGCGAGATTATTTGGAATTCCGTAGTTGAGTCATCGTTGTGGGCAGTATAACTTGCACAGTAATGGTGGTAGAAGTAAACCTCGCGCACGCGCCCGCGTCCGCGCGCGCACCGGGCGGCGGGCGGCAGGCCCGCCTTGGAGAGTGTCACTTCCGCGTTCGTCATCGCGCATGGGGTGTTACAGTGTGTACATTACCTATTTTACCTACGCCAAAGTATGATTGATGGCTTATGATCATGGAAAACGGATGTGAGTGTGAGATAATGACTGAGAAGATCGCCAAACATACCTTGTCCGTCGACCGCCACGTTCTCAACCACCTCGCGCGGTGACAAGTAATTTTTCTCTCCAAGACGGTCTTCAAGCCACCCATGGTTAATCCAGTGGAAATCGATGAGGAA